CTCTCTCTACTCTCTTATTTTCTCTCTCTACTTTCTCTCTCTCTCTCTCTCTCTCTCCTAAAAAGACCCTAGGGGGGCACGCCCCAACGTAGACTCTCCCTCTCTCAAGATCTAATCTAAAGGTTGGGAAAATTAGGGTTTGAGCCTTATTATTTTGGAGTTAGGGTTTTGTAGAGATTTAAGGGTGATTACCTAGTTTGGCCGAAATTAGCTTTCCCGGTTCGAGATTGAAGCTAGACCGCTGATCCCGCGCCACTGAATGTGGTGACTCGGTGTGGGGTGTAAAAAGCCCGGTTGAGGTAATCTCCGACATATTTTCTTTTAATTGTTTGTTCTTTTATTTTATATTCTTAAGCACAGTATTAGGTTGTATGAATGACATCAATTAGTTGAGATTTATTTTATTGATGTGTTATTTAATTTTTGGAATTTCTATTGTTTGTAAAAAGACCATCTGTGAGTGATCTTGTTGCCAAAATTATAAGGGGTCATTATTATTATTTTTTTTTTAAAAAAAAAATTGTATTTCCTCGGCAAAAGATTACATAGGTCTTTCTTTCAAAAACTAATGTGCAAAAACTTAGCTTGGGCTTAGGACTCGGACCTGTCCTAATGAGGCAAGTCCAAGTGGGCTGGCCTAAGTCATGTTCAAGCCCGAAATGGCTAACACCGAAGACAATGAACACCCTACATACCAGTAATATACTATGAACAGTTTCATAAAAAAAAGAAAAAGGAAAATTGCAAAAACATTTGTTAAGAATAAAAAAGAAATAGTCAAGAGCAAACCAAACTATGGAAAAGATTGAAATTCTAAAAAAAGAGAAAAAAAGGAGTACATATAAAGATGGAATTTGGAAAAAAAATGATTTATAGCTGGAAACAATTTTTAAAATTCCCAAAAAAGGGGCAACAAAAAATAGGGCATATGATTAAAAAAAATCACAAATCATCATCATAAACATCAAATTATCAAAAGGGAAAGGTTTCTATACTTCCCCTGAAGCATATAAGATATATACTTTTCCCTCCATTCAGCAGTCCAATTTAGATTAAGTGAGCCACACCGTTCAAACGCTTCAGAATGTTTTATTTTTAGTTTTTTTCTACAAATTGTATGCAAATGAAATTTGGTGCATACTATCTTCTAGATGTGGCTCATCTAAAAAACTATTAAAAATAATTTTTCGATAAAATATAATAACCTAAATACCCCTTGAAACTTTCAGGGGTATTTTGGTCATTTTATTTTATTGAGAATATTTTTTTATATTTTTGCTAGTGCGAGTTTATGAGAGGAGTGGATGCCCAAAATTTGGTGTCAAAATAATTTGTAGAAAAATATTAAAAAAAAAATAGTTTAGAGATGTGAGATTGTGATTGGGGCCATCTCAGTCGTCCATTCAGAATGGACGGTTGGATAGGGGCAAGTATATAAGCTTTATGCAGTAGGGGAAGCATATTAAGCTGGCTCTTATCAAAATTTATATATAAACATATTTAGGCATTGATTTAGGCGCAAAAAAAATTGTTTATATTTTTTTATATTTCTGAGTTTGTACCCAGGACTGGCTCGGGCAAGGTGCTGAGTCCGAGCCAAGTTTTAAAACCTAATTTATATCACTTTTAGATGGTCATTTGTGCTTCACACTACATAGGGATGCACTATTAATTTCCTAGGCCATATGGAACTTTTTGGTTTTCATATTGTAGTAAAGTTGTTTTCATGGGAAAGTGAAATTGTAGTGGCCTAGGGCCATACCATCAGTGGAGAAGTGGTCCGATGTTTGGATCAATAGCTTCATCTAAAGCATTTGGTCTATTTGTAAGTTTTGAACATTGGTACTTGACAGGAACAAACTTCTTACTGTCTTGATTTTATTTTGTCCTAATATTCATAAATCTGGATGGAAGCATGTGACAAAGCTGTAGTCTTACCTAGTTCCTTTCTCTGTGAGAAGGGTTGATAGATTATAATGGATTGAATCAACCAACTACACATTTATTTAATGTAATTCAGATCATAGATGATTCTGTTATATATTTGAGTTGGAATGTATTGCTTAAATATTTCACAAGAAGATATTCTCATAATAGATATATCTATTATGTCATGGTGCCTGTAAATGCTGTCTGAGAGTTTTCTGAATATGTATCATCTCTTCCAAATGTATGCTTACTTGAACTTCAAAGGTTTGGGAAAAGACATGGTGTTTTCCTTGCATTTAAAAATCCAAAATCTTTAACTATAAAAGAAAAGAAATTCCAAACCCTTTTACATAATGTGAATGTGCAAAGCCTTGTACATACTCAGATTAGCATTGTCCTTCTGCAAGGATGACATGCATAAACCAGTAAATGGTCCAAAATTTTACTTATTGAAAATAATATTTGGAATCCTAATTGGACTTTTCCTTTTTTAATGTTTTCATTGGAGCTAGGATGCTAATAGGTGAGATCTGGGTAGTTGGGATTGCTGAGTAGCATATGCATGCCTCAAACTGTATTTGCTTCATTTGGCCCATTTTTTCCTTTGAACTCCTTTCTTTTGCTTTATTTGTAAATTACGTAGCCAGGGAATGTCAATAGGATCATTGAACTACATTTTAAGTTCACATTGCAGAGGATTGGCAGGCAAGGCTTGACTGAATTGGATTTTCATCGGATTTTCAGCATGCTTTATTTTTTTGTGAGATAAACTTGAATGCCATTACAGATCTATAATTGACCAAAATGTCCACACAAGTTTGGAAGACATTCATTATAACCCTATAACAGGAAAAATGGGGAAGTTGCAAGCATATGCTGTTGCACCTATGCAACAGGACAGAACCATATTTCATAGAATAATGAGGGTTGCTTCTTTTTAAGGATCGGATGTTTTTGACCAATATCCTTGTCCTTGTCCTTTTACTATGGTCTTAATTTTAATTTCTCATTGTAAGCCTTCTTGTTTGATAGGAGAACGAAACAAAAAGTAGGCAGCACATGTTCGAAGAAAAAGATTTCAGAGATGAAATTGATGGTCCAGATACCTCCTCATTTGGTGCATTTCTTTACTCTCTGTTGTCTTCAGAATCTGGCAGTGATAGTGGAGATAAGCGCCAGGAACATAATGCTGGAATGACAGAATCAGCATCAAATCTAGGGACTCAGGCAATTGGTAAGAAAAAGACACTGATTTCGAGAGGCAAGCATTCTATTGGTAGAGCTATTTCACGTGTAATGAAAATAGACAAACATAGAGATGAAGGCATAGATCAAAGAATTGGCTGTTGTGGTGAAAGTGGTGATAAAAATGGTGACAAATCTGTACAATATGGTAAAAAGCCTGTGCATACAGCTGCCATGGGAGCAGAGGAAGCCCTTCCAGATATTTCTGAGCCTTCATTGCTTCTTTCAGAAAGGAGTCGAACTATCCTTTGTTCCTCATTGCCTAAACTTGTTTGTGGCAGCATGTGGGTCCTGATTTATAGGTACACCTATTGCATTCTCAACTATACTTCATGGTGTTTTGGTTTTATGGGTCACCAATTTGTTGGTTCTCATTTTGTTTCCTTCTACTTATGCAGTACTTGGAGGCATGGGATATCGCTTTCAAGTCTCTACAGGAGAAGCACGCTGTGTCCTGGGTACTGTATGCTGGTAAGTTTCTCACAGTTGATGAAGTACAAATATTTATACAGGATATTTTTTTCTCCTGCTACCTGACTAGAAATGACCTATTTAAAAGTTAAACCTAGCAATTGCTAGTGATATCTTTCTAGTTAAAAGTTTTTGGTTGGTTACTATAATTAGGTGAATATCGAAGTCAATGTGGAACGGGTGCCCCTGTAGTATGACTCACGGCAGTGTCCTTCGGATTAACTACATGACAGGCCAGGAATGGGGAACACAGAGCTCTAATATATTTAGTTATCAGTGCTTCAATACATTAGGACTACTGTACATTGCATATAGGACTAGTCTGGTGGTTATGTATCTACTTCTGGGCATTACTTTGCATTTTGAGCATTTGAACTGATAGATTTCTTCACTACTAGTAAACTTTTTAGCTTTGGATGCAACTGGTCAAGGTTCCATAATACTAGATGGAAACTTCATTTCTATTATGTGAAATGTTTGACCTTTATAAAGCATATACTTGTCAATGAAATAAATGTCATCACTTGGAAATGGTTAGGAGATATCCTTAAACTTTGCCTTAAACTTTGGGATAGGTACAACGGAGGGTTCCCATCGACATGTCCATTTTTGTATCTCTTTAAAGTCTTTTCTTTTATCATTCATATAACATAATTTTCAGTTCGTTTTAATTCGAAAACTTAGAAGTTGCCTTTTTGCTAGAAGGTTTAAGTTTTAATTGAAAGGGTTTTATAATTTCTAGCCTTTTACAATTATATTTTTGTTCTTATATATACAACTGTTGGGTTCCAATATCGAAATAGAGTATTTGGGTCATTCTAAGGTTCTTGTGGGTTTTCTTCTGTTTTTGCTCAGGCATCTTCTCAACAGCAATTGTTTATCTGTATCTATTTATTTGACTGCATAGTATGCTTGTTATATCTATCAACTCATCCTTTTTTTCAGGTTGTGGGGGACCGAAAGGGTGCAGTATTTGGCGGTTTAGTTGAGGCTCCATTGAGACCAACGAATAAGAGAAAGTACCAGGTATACATTTGGTTATTCACATTATACCTTCATTGTCCACTTGCCCATAAATACTGTTTCATTGCTTCCCTTTGTTCAAGCTATTGAGTCTTAACTAATCTCTATGTTTTTTGAGCAGGGAACGACAAATGCTTTTGTTTTCAGTGATGTATCTAGTTCTCCAGTTGTGTTTCGCCCAACTGGTATTTGCTATTGCTTTCATATGACTGATATCACGCATTACTACTACTCAAACTGAAAGTTTTGCTTTCATTTAATTATAGTATGTTGCAAATGTTTGTTGTGTGAGTCCAAGTCCAACAAGTGCTTATAATAGGTACTTTAAAATATTCAGAACAGCCAACCAGTAAAGGGAACCAATAGGTAGCAGACCAGAACTGGTGACAGGGTTTTGATGTGCTGTTGGATCAAATGATAAGGCTGACAGAAGGTATGGCACCAGCGCAAAGTTGTCAGGCAGGATGGAGAAGGAGAACCTTTCACTGTCGAGATGCGTGAGGGTAATGAACGATCACATAACATTGGCATGTTAGGGAGGAGGATGGTGCCCTGGTGTTACAAGGGGGTACACTGTCAGCAGAGGTCTTGAGGATCGAATACACGTGGAAGGAGTTGGACAGCTGCTTCTTTTGTAAAGGCAATGCCAAAAGTTAGGCCAGGAATGATGCCGGAATTTTGGCTGGAGTTGATGGTGAGAAAGGAAGGTTGGCCAGTGAAGAAGGTGCTAGAAGTTTTGTGGTGAATGATATCAGCATTTTGCTCACAGATACTGGTGGGTGAGTCAAATCAAGCTTTAGGGGCCATCTGTATTTAGCTGATGTGCGCCTTAGTTGTTTTGGAGTGGAGCATGTTGGTGGTGGGGTTGATGTTGTCCTTGCAGGAAGAACGGATGAAGCGTGGAGGTCCTTTAGCCATAGTTTTTTTGAGAATGTTAATCGTCCTTTGGCCATAGTTGGAAACCATGCATCATTTTTATGGTGGGGTATCAAGAGAAGGTGCTGCAAGCCCTGCTGTCACAATTCCATCCAGATATCAGGGCAAAAATTCGTCCTGGACTAGGGTCACAAGTGAATGATCCATGTCTGCGAGACCATATCCATGCAGAGATCAGGGATTATATCAACCCTGGAGATAGAATTGGTTCCTGTTTGAGACCTAATTGGACACCCTGACATTGGATATGTGAAAAAGTAGCCCAGATTGAGGTCTTTGGTATTGATGAATTCCTCCTTGAAGGGTCTAGTGTTTAGATTCATGTGGTCCTATGAAAGCGGTGCCCATGTACAGCAGAGGGAGGCCCATGTGTGTGCTTACAAGTCCAGATGATCTGGAGAAGCAAACAACCACTAGTCGGCCACATCTGGGGTTGCATATAGCAAATTCAGTCGGTAAGGAGTAAGCAATCATTTTGGGATTTTCCAACCAATACCTCCAACAAATTCTTTAGGGTTGGAAATGTGTGTGTATAACTTTACAAAAATGATTTCTCGTTTTATAGTAATGAAACAAGTATAGGGTTTGCATGATATGATACAGGTCATAAGCACTGTTATGTAGGTCCTTTGAGATTTTTAGTGGGGGTGTGTTTCGAGTTTCAACTGGGATGGAGAGCACTGTGAGGGAGGCATAGATACACTCTACAACAATCACCAATAGATAAAAATAGGGTCATGAGAGTGAGAACTTAGGGGAGGAAGTTTATAATTCAGATCTTCTCATCCAATTGGAATGGCCTTGGGGAAACCTATGAGTGTCGTATGAATGTGACTCAAAGGAAGTTATTCAACTCTTCAACCTGATGAAAGGGAAAAAATGATGGAAGGGAGGAAGGCAAGGAAAATAGGAAAAGCAATTGGAGGAAAATGGAACAGTTGAGATAGGAATTTGGAGAGCTCTATGAAGTATGAATTATAACTAAGTAATGGAGGGTAGACCTGAGAAACCTGAAAGGCCATTTGGTTGCGGATGAGCACGTGCAAATATGGTTCCCTTTGAGGCTACTTTCTTGGAATATCCAGTGGTTGGATATCCTCAAGAAGAAAGGCGCGTGTGAAAGTTCATTGGGAATGCAAGATAAGTATACTCATACTTCAAGAAATGAAGACTGAAGTGTTGAAAGATCCTTTGGGAATGGAAGATAGGTATACTCGTGCTTCAAGAAATGAAGACTGAAGTCGTGGATAGAAAACGATTGGAATTCTCATTATACACCCCCATCCTTAAGGGATGGAAAGATGGGAACCCTTCTACCAACATGACATTTTTCAAGACACTAGTTATTATCAATGGATTATCAATTTAAAAGGTGGGGGATTTATTAGCTCATACTATTTGAAAGGTTTGGTATTTAAGGAAGCATTTGACATGTCTAACTTCGTACAGTTCCTTGAGAATTCTAGTGAAGCTGCAATTTCGAGAATAAGCTAACATTTGTGCAGTCAATGCTATTAAGTGTAGGGCTTAGCCCATGTCAATCAGCACATGTTGTGAGATGGGTCACATCATAGTTATTGGGATCTTCCATCTAGGGTGGCGCTCCTGCTCCCTGAACATTGGTTCTGCAGTCTGGGAGGAAGAACACATTCCGATTCTATTGGGAACATGTTACCAGTCTTCTTGGGAACTCTTTCAACTTATGTTGTTAAGGAAGCTCCTCCTCTCCCCTTTGGCTGGTTCCGTTTGTAGGACCTACAAATGCTTCACAATGTAAATTCTTGGGTTTTAAAGAAGGGGGAATATTTTTATTCGAGAACAAAGATGAAGAAGAACTTGAACATCAAAATCCTTTGATTACTATTTTAATTTATCGCTAGTCGTTTAAATATTTATTTGTTTTTAATAATTATTATATGAGTGTTCCCATGGCTCTTTCTAACTGGGGAGCTTCTGGCCAATCCCCCATTCCTGATTCCGCTCTAGCTTATGCTCCCAAGGTCTGTGATTTGCGTACTTGTGTTTGTTGTCAAGGGTTTTTTTTGACGAGGTTACATAGGAATGGAACTTGCAACGTTGTGCTATGAAAACCCAGCCTCTACCATCTTGACCCAAGCTCGATTCCTTATGTTGTGAAGGTTAAATGATGGTTCATACATCTATTGCGCTTTTGTCTTGGTCTGTGCTCATTCCTCTAGTGTCAGATGAGTCGCTTGAATGATGTAATTCTAGATTGAACATGGGTTGGTTAAATATGGTTCACTTAAGGTGAGAACATTCTACCTTAAATGATAGCTGAAATCATGGGAAAATCATGCTTTGTGTGCTTGGTTTAATGTGGGTCGATTTACTATGGCTCATGGCTTATTCCTGTGATGTTAGATTCACTGTGGATTGGTTCAATATGCATCACTTAAGGTGAGATCATTGCAGCTTAAAAGAGAGCTGAAATCATGGGCAAATCATGATTTTTCTGCCTTGACACTCGAATGACAGAATGAACGATAGTGATAGGTATATTGATACCTGTTGGATCAATGTGCTGAGAAGATCCAGATTCCTTCTAAAGCTAGTATATTATTTGAAACAACATTTCGACAAAACTGGTTACTTTTGTGTATGTTTCATGACTGCCTGTACTCGTGCTGAAATTGCAATTTTCTCCTAAATTTCTTTATTACGTGTGAGTTGCTACATTTAGCATGTCTATTAGCGTGGCACAGTAATTAATTTCCTAACGCATGACAAACACCATAACTCATTTCAGCTATTGTTAATTGTTTAACTAAGGCCACATATTGTGCAGGTATTAATCGTTATTTCACTCTATGCTCGACCGACTTCCTAGCACTGGGTGGTGGTGGCCATTTTGCTTTGTACTTAGAAGAAGACTTGTATGTCTCTGCCTCTTGTGCTTCTCTTTTCCTTTGTTGTGACCAAGGTTTAGTGTGTTTATATGTCCATTAACATTGTATCTGTGTGCGGTGTCTGAATCACAGCACCTAATCGCTCTACTTGGCAAGTGTTAAAACACCTTTCAGTTTTGCATTTATGCTGAACAGCGGCACGGACCATTTAGGTGGGACCAACATGTCATGGATATCGGCCCTGCACCAAACACCCATATATGTGGATGTGGGGTACAGTCATGCTATCCATGATTTATACACCTTCCAAACATGTCCTAAGGGTTTCAATGGTATGGTAGCTCATGTGGCATGTGCAGAAATGTGGGAACAAATCTAAATGGTAAAACAAATTTGAAATAATGTATTCTAATAAACATTGTGAAAACAGGAAATACATAAAGAATTTCCCATATAAGGTAATCACTTTAGGAAACCACTTGTCAAAAGAAAGCCAGTATGAAAGGAATTTTTTGATATATGCTATCATTTTATAAAATCACCTCTCAAAGAAAATCACTTAAAGGCACCTAATAATGTCTAGAAATGGGATAGAAAAATGAATTGTGCTCATATAAACCTGCAAGAGAAGAGGTGTGGCCGCTGTCATTATTGCTTCCACAATGAAAACAAAATGGAATGAACCCAAAATGCATATCTTAATGCTCAACTACTGCTTTAAAATACACCAAAGATCTTCTGGCTGAACTTCTCCTTTGAAAATAAAGAAATAACTTCATCTCAATATAAGTCCACTTTTCTGTAAATAAGCCAATACTATAGTAAGGAAAGTTTTTAGTTCCAAATTCCAGTATCAGGGAAAAAATCACATTGGTTTGGGGTTAGATCCAGCAATTTTTACATGCTTTTTGAGTGCTTAGATTAATGGAAGACAAATTTTTTTGGAGTTCTTTTTACCCCTTGCTACTTATTTTCCTTTTGAAATTTTGCACGCAGGTTGCATGGGTCCAGCTCTGCTTCAGAGACATTTGGGAACTCATGTCTAGCCCACACCCAAGACTTTGAGGTGAAGGAGGTTGAGGTGAGCTTGAAGTTTTCTTTCTATTCCGGATTTCCCTATCCTTGATTTTTGTCGTTCTATTAACCTGGATGTATATGTTGATGGAGATAATCTTTGTATTTTGCAGCTGTGGGGTTTCAGATACACTTCGAAACATGGGGAAAGGGTTTCATTTGACCGTTTGGATGAGCCCCCAGGAATTTGCAGATGGTGATTGTGTATTGCTAATATGTGAGATCTGATATGATGTGTCTTGCTTTGTACATGTGATTTAGTGATGCATATGTATATATGGGGTATCGTATTCTAACTTTTGTCCATGGAAATGGACAATTAAATGACCAGCCTTCCTAGTCTCAGAAACCTCACTTTTTTCATTTTAACTGCTAATAGCCAGTTATTGTACAATTTGGAGTTGGGCACTGTAAGATACTGTTTGCTGCCTCCTATCGAAGCTTAAAGGAAAATGCGTTGATTGTGTAATGCTCAGTTAGAAGTTCGGCCACCTTACAGAGAATAAGCAAAAATGTGTTGATTGTGTAAGGTCCTGTTAAAATTTTGCTTCTGGCAATCATAGCATCAACTATTGCTGTAAAATTTGAATCTAAAAACAGCAACGATAAATGAGAATAAAAAATGTACAAACAAGTCTACAACATAAGCCTCAAGGTCCAGAAGAGTTGATAATTACACAATGGATTATTATCTTGCTCTTATGGAACTCCTTGGCAGGTTCTACTGCCACTCTCAGTGAAACCCTCTATAATCAGATACAAGGAAACAGGTATGTGCAGCCTATAGCTATGGAGAATGAGGCTTGGCGCTTTTTGCTCCCCCATAGAATATAGACCTTTATCTGGTTGGCTAACCTTTTGGCTAAACAAGGTTCAACGATATCATTTGTCGTTTCTTTGCCATGGGAAGGACTCCTAATGGAGGACTTCCTTAGAAGAGATGTGAAGGTGGCTGATGCAGTGCTACAAACTTAAAGGCCAGTGCTTAGGCTTTCATGTTTTTCGGCCTAGTTTGTTGCATGGCAAAATTTGGATATTATAGGGCTTTCACTGCTATTTGTGAAGTTGGATCACAATAGTGATTTTGACATCTGAGCCAAAAGTTATGCCTGCACAACAAAGTCAGGGTATGTTATCAGGGTTATTTTTAGGACGAGTTTGTTTTCAATTCATTATGTCAAGGGAAAACATGTTAAGTTTGAGTAATTTTAATTAGGAGCTCTAATTACATTAGAATCAGGATTATAAAGTCTTAAAAAGGACGAGTTTGTTTCAATTCATTTTGTAGAGGGAAAAAATGTCAAGTTCGAGTCTAATTTTAATTAGGAGTTCTAATTACATTAGAATCAGGATTATAAAGTCTAAATAAAATCAATGTAAAGGGGTTAAGTCAGGTTTTTGGTTATTGTTAGCTTCTTTTAATTTTGAATTAATTCATTTATTTTTCTTTTGAAATCTTCATTTTTCTTTTTTTTGGTACGAATCTGCATCAGTGGCCCTCCAAGGGGATATCAGAGTGCGGTTCTCCCCTTCCCCTCCATCTCTCGCTCTCTCTCTCCACTCAGTCTCTAAGGTGTCCTTTTGTCATTTATTTCATTCTCTTTCTTAGGGCCCATTTGGTTCTTTGGAAATGGGTCTTCCAAAGACCTATTTCCATGGAAACGGCTTGTTTGGATGCCCTCCTTGGGTGGGAGTTCGATCTCTATGCAGAGACTAATTTCCATGTTGCAAGTCTATTTTTTAAAAATTTCAATTCCAGCAAAATAGGTGGAATTGAAAGAGAGTCACGGGCCCGAAAATTTCAATTAGACTAAAACTAACTGCGTGCTCTTTTGCCCGTTCATAGAGCTTGACCCTCTCAAGCATGGAGCCAAAGGAGAAGGGCACGCCACCTTTACTGAATAAGAGTTCATGCTCATAAGTGGCATTCTTGAGGATGATGCCAATCTTTGCATGATCAAAGATTGTACATTAGGTGACCCACAAAGCACTGCTTCTAAACTGATCGATGAAACTGGAGGATGGTTCACCATTGTTTCGCTTCATTGAAGTTAGTTTTCCTAATGAGATGGGTCGAGGCTTACTCCTACGTAGTAAGTTTTGAACCTACGAAGGAGCAAGTTTGTAGTTGCTTGTGGGTTTCCCCTCATAAACTCTTGTTGCCAGATTAGGGTGATTGGGTAGGCCAGACAAAGCCATTCCTGAGGAACCGGTAACCAGTATATGAGATTCTGGGTTGCCCTTCCTAGAGAAATGTTTTCTAAACTCTATGAGGACAAATCCAATTAGGAGATCTTCTAAGTCTCTGAGGGTCTCTTGAGTTTGAGCTTTTAGAGGTAAGAAGTTGTGGATCCTCATCCTCACACATCTTGAAGGACTTGTTAGCTAACCAAGTGGTCGATACTAGAGTAACTTGATTGGACGGTTGGTTGCCTAATGTGGACCAATGTGTTTCAGCTTGGGGAATAACTTGGAGTGGCTAGACATGTAGTTAGTAGGTCTAAGCCATTGGGCTGGTTTGGTAAGGTTGCCCCAGAAGTTGAACTTGGGGGTAACTGACTGGATCAGGAAGACTAGTTGTTGGTCAATAGGATTACTGAGGTGGATGGATTGAGCCTGGATGAGCCAACAAATTCACATTTGGATGGTAGAATCTTGACTCACTAAGTCTAGTAAGAGAACTTGCAAGATAGGGTCCTCGTAGATGGATGTTTGAGATCGACCCCCAGGATTTCTATGGTGGCTGTAGGCTCTATTTCACGGTCTAGACCATTGTGGTAGATCTTGGTTTAGTGGGTGTAGATTTCTTGGGAGTAAAAGCCAATGGCCAGAACTGGATTCCTGCAAGGTTCTCTACTCCTAGTGGGCAGTTTTTGATTCAAATGACTAACTAGTGGTGGAAGTGATAATCTCCTTAGGCTTGAGTGCCGATGACCAGATATGGATCCCCGACTAGGTGCCCTACTTCTAGCAGGTGATCTTTGGTTCAAATGATTGGACAGTATGTGGCAATTGGGGTTAACCTAGTTTGGCTCAGCTGGCGCAATGTTATTGAAGGTTTGTACTTGTGGCCTTGACCATGCCCACTAGATTGAAGGTTAATTTTCATGTCTTGGTCTAATCCTCAGAGTATTTTCTACAAACTTGGTGGTTTGTGGTTTGGAAACTTGGTGGTCTGCGGTTCCTAGATGGTGGTTATGAGAACTATCGAGTTGGAAACCGGGACTTCTAACTACGGTCCCATATAAACTATGACTAGGCTCACCCACTAGAATGTTATAGGTTCGAGGAGCATTCTTATGATGCCTCTTGGACTAATGGCTTGATATTCTTGACCTAGACCGGAAAGGACATGAGGACAAGGGATCAGCATCAACACCACACCTCGCCCTAGCTCGGTCTTGGGACTTTATGCTAGCAAGTCTAACAACAGAGAGGTAGGCAAACACCACTAAAACAGGTATGAAAATTTGCCTTAAGTTACTATGAATAAGGTTCAAGGTGGGATTCCTAACTAAGAGAAAGCTTCAATGCGGTTAGCCCACGTAATTCCCGAGCCACCCATATGGGTTTTGCTATGGGTCTAATATGTGTGGTTTTAGGGCAATGAATACCAGAAAGGTGCTCACAGTTAAAGCGGCACAACTCCCAACTATTTGGACTCCTAAAAGCTAGGTGTCCCTCTCAGGTTAATGCCGAGTTTGACAATCTTTGAAAAATTTGAAGCGGTTTTTTTGCTGTGTATGTAAAAAGGTGCGGAAAAGAATAAACGTGCACGTGTATGTGAAAGTTGTGGCAAACACACAATAGAACAAGAAAATATAGCTAGCAAATATATTGTGTAAACAAAATATTGTAAGCATTGATAAACAAAGAAAAGTACTAAAAACACATACACAAATATATATTATTTTCTATAATGCTCTACTTTTCTATTTCTGGTACTGAAACAACATAACAGAAAGGTTTTTTTGCATAAAAAAATCAAACAAGAAAGAAACTAGGACTGCCGAACACTAAGGAGGGTAGATCTGTTCCACGACATTGGTGCACATCAGTGACCCCAGTGATGTGCAGCGTGTTGCTGAAGGCAACTAACTTTCTCTCGAATCATCTGCTTCTTGTTATCCAAACAGCTTTGAGTTGTGATTCTCAATTTTGTTTTCAACTATTTTTATGCAGTTTCAAACTGGTATTGAATGAAATCATCTCTAATTTATGTTTTAAACTAAATCAATTAAAATTTAGTAGAGAAAGTGAGTCCCATCAAATCTCAAATCAAAAGAGGTTGGCCTCATGGCTTCTCCCTTATGATCCGTAGGCCATGCCGGTTTGAAATTGTGCAAAACCAAAAGAAACTTAAGAAACATTAAAGAAATCATAAGAAAATAGTCTTTAGTGAAGTTTAAAAAAACTATAAAATCAGGAAGAAGGAAGAAAAAAATAACTTACTTGGCAAGCCCAGCCGCCACTCCCTTACATCTGGAGGAGGTGGCCCTAATTAGACTTTGTGGTTATGAGATCTTTCTCCTTGACCCTCAAATTTTTACTTCAACCAAAGAATTTCTTGGTCTTCAAAAGAGTTTAACCTAGAAAGTTTCCTAGGATTTTGCTTGAATTAAGAGGTTTAGGGTTTTTTGTGCCTTAAGGTTTAGTTTTCGAATTTCTTATGAAGCTTCAATGGTTGCTGAAAATTGGGGTTTAATTTCAGGGCTTGTGTCTCTGATCTATGGTTTTAGCATATCTTCTAATGTTTTCTCAAGGGTTAGAAAGGGTTTACTATAGTCCTATGGAGTATTATGCTAGTATGGTTCAAGATTGTCGGCTTTCAGGAGGATATCTACACAAAAATGGCAACCTCAATTCCCTACAAGTACCATTTTGAACCTCCTGTATTTTGATACTTTTGATACTATTAACTTTTCTTTTAGCATTTGTTGTGGCGTGAAAAAACTTTGTATTTAAGTTACCTTTGTTGAGCCATTTGATTCTTGACTTCTATCTCAAATATATCTCCACATGTCTAAGACATTAATGTAGCTCCTATTTTAATTCATTTCTTTGTCTAATGGTATTAGAATCAACATATTTGCTTTCATGTTCCATATGATCCAAAGTTGTGAGCTTCCCCATAATTTCTTCCATCTTATTCCCATTATTATATTTTGACTTTCTTCATTCTACTAACTAACCTCTATTGTGGGATTCTATACAAAGAGACTATTTACTTTTTGAATAAAGAGGTCACAATTATTCTTTCTCATTGGATGTCAAATTGGATGACTTAGGGTGAATCATAAAGTTTGAGATTTTTTTTTTTTTGAATTTTTAGTCTATTCAATGACACTACTACAACCACCAAATTTGAAATCTAAAGGACATCAGTAATTGTGACCTCCTTGTACAAAAAGTAAATGGTTTCTTTATATACTTTTCTATAATTATGGAAATCTCTTTGATAGCTTATATTGCTATCATT